CCCCCCCCCCGTTGCACAAGCCCCGCTGCTCCCAGGGGCTCCCATCTCCTCCTCCTGCATCCTCCGAGGCAAGGGCAGAGTGCTGGCTGGCGCTCTGCCCTCCTTTTGCCCACACAGACGGCGGAGTCCTGGCTCCGTGGTCCAGGACGTGGCCCCTGGGCTGCAGGGAGGGAGGGGGGGCTCCTTTGAGCGTCCACCCTGACACCAGGAGCCCCTGGCCGCAGACCTTCTTCCCTCTCCTGGCCCATCGACCCACCCGTCAGTGCCAGGCAGGTCCCCAGAGCAAGGCGGCTGCTGCTGCTGCTGCTGTGAGTCCAAGTCGGGACTTGCGGAGGAGTGGGGAGCCTGGTGGTTGAGGCTGCCGCTCGGCCACTGAGCTGGCCGGCCAGCCTGGGCCAGAGGAGAGCCGCTTCTTTCCCGGGGGTGGGCAGGGGACACGTATTGGGTTTTCTCTGCTCTCTCTTCTGCCGGCTGGGCTGGACTTGCTGAGCTGAGCGGCAGGCCTGGTGGTCCCTTTGTTTTCCGTTCCAGACTCTGGCTGCTTCCTGGGAGACACCTTGGAAATCCGTCCATCTCCGCCGGACTCCGCAAAGAAGCAGCCCCTGGCTGCTCCCTTCGCTCTGAAGACTGACGGGCCGTCTGGGCCCTTCTTCTGACACTCAGGCGAGGGCAGCTGGGTCGACCCGCACCTCTGAGACCCGCGGCCCTCTCTGGCTTCCTCCTCTGGTGACCCGGGGCTTCCTGGCCCTCGGGATGCCCAAGGACTGGGCGGGCGCTCTGGGCCTCTGGCGGGCCCTCTTCTTCTCCTGCCTGATCAGTCACGGTAAGTTCCAGCGGCTGCCTCACTGGGGAAAGCCTCTCTGCCTTCAGGTCGCTTCTGTGCCCGCACGCAAGTTGGGGGACCTGTTTCCAGTGGGGAGAAGAGCGGGCACCTGGGCCGTCTCCCTCCTGCCCTCTCGGCCAGCCCCGCCGTTGGATTGATTGATTCACTTCACGTCTTTGCATGCCACCTTGCGGCGGCCCCCGAGGCAACTCCCAACCCTTTCAAAACCACCGTTTAAAAGACCTTAAAGAGAAAGGTACATAAGAGGCAGGAGTTTGGTTGGCTCACAGAGGCACTTGGATAAATTGTTTGGGACTCTGGCTCGTACTGCTGCGGATAGCTTACTGTAAGCAGGATCCCACTAAGTAGTTTTGCATCGTTTAATGCGTCATGTTCATACTTAGGCTTTGCTTCAGTTCTGTTTTTTAGATTTCCGGCTGGTGCTAAAAGCCTCGTCCTGTTGTATAGTTGGCTGAATGTCCCGTCCGTCAATTGTATTGACTCACTTTGAGTCCAAATGAGAAAGGCGGCCTATAAAGAGCATAAATCTCACCCACCCCTTTCCACTGTATTGGTAGACCTGTCATATTAGTGGAATCTGAACACCAGCATTACAGGTAGAAGAAGAAGAGGAGGAGGTTGGATTTATACCCCATGGCCCTTCGCTACCCAAAGGTGTCTCAGAGCGGCTTCCAAACCCCTTCCCCTCCCCACCACAGACAGACACCCCCTGTGAGGTAGGTCAAGTATAACAGAGGTGGAACAATCATGGTCAGAACCCTGCCTAACCTAACAAACAGGAAGCTGCTTAAATGTTATCAACTTGCCCAAATGACTTATTTATTCAGATATTTATGTCCCACTTTCCCCTGTGACTCAAGGCAGCTTACACAATCACACTCAAAAGCATAATAGGGGTGTGCAAAAAACCCCCAACTTTCCCCCAGCTCCATTGTAGCCTATGGGGAACGTTATAGTCAATGGCCCCATAGGCTATAATGGAGAATCGGTCTGGGGTTCGGGGGTGTGTGTGCTGTTTTTTGAGGTAGAGGCACCAAATTTGTGGCATAGCGGCTGGTGCCTCTCCTCAAAAACCTCCCCAAGATTGAAAAGATTCAGGGGGTCCAATTCTATGGGCCCCAGAAAGGGTGCCCCCATCCTCCATTGTGTCCCATGGAGGGGGGGGGGAGAAATGCCTTTGTGTGAGCGGAGAGCAGAAATTCCTGAGCTGTCTGTTAAAATGTTGTGCGCCCGCACCCCCTAGGACAGCTTAGAGGGAACTGGGGGGGGGGGGGCACACAT